GGCTTTTCACGGGCAGAACGGGCTCCTTCTGGGAACCGGGCCCCCCGGTACCAGGGACCCGGTATCCCCCCCCCCTTGTGGCGGGCCTGCGCGTAGTCACATTTTAATATAATTGACGAACTACATATTTTGCTGATTTACGCCCACGATATTTGAGCAATTATGATCGAAGCCGCTCGCAAATTATCATTCATGGAAATAGAGAGTTTCCGGTCCTAATATCGTCACCCTCCAGGCAAAGTATCACAAGCGCCATGCGACGTTTAAAAATTTCCGCCGCCATTTTATTTTTTTACAGAGAAATTGTTCAACGAAGCTGTCCGAAAATTTCACTGAATTTTCTTTGTGCTGCCGATAAAATTTAGTGAAATTTCCAAACAGATTCAACCAACAATTTCTCAGTTAAGAAATAAAATGGCGGCGGAAATTTTTAAACGTCGCATGGCGCTTGTGATACTTTGCCTGGAAGGTGACGATAAATTCACATGATTTAAAATTTTGAATGTGAAATTCATGAATTCCCGTGGGAATAAATTAAGAGTCCATTCCTCCAGAACGATCATAGATATATAATTCTTATTTTCAATAGTATAGCTACTGTTGAAATTGGAGGTGAATCTAGGCACTTTTTCAAAGTGAATCGGACTCCGATGACTTAAGGTATTTAGAGTGTTAAATCAATATCATTCCTTGAAATTTTCCCAGAGTTTTTTACTCACCGAGAAGAAAAATAAGAAACATTTTTCAATAAAGACATTGAGTTTGTTTTCCATCTAAGATTTTTTTGCTTGACAGGGAGTCTGCAACAACGCAAACCGAGAAACGTGGTCTGGTAATTCACCGTCGATGACTCAATGTAATTATTTGGATGTCGATTTACGGCATCTTCATAAGTTTATAAGCGTATTTTTAACTTTTTTATTTTTAAATTTCAGGTGCAAAATGCAAAGCAAAACGTTGAAATACTCGATAAAAAAGCTGACTTTTTGTTGAATATCACGATGCACACTCTGCCGAGCTAAGGAAAAACGCCGTATGAACCTTCAGGCGTTGTCAAATTTCCTTTGATAAAACACGAATTTCATGGTAAACTTGTGCAAATTCTCCCTCCAATTTTTCAGATAATTTTGTGCGCAACTTTACCTGAGGTTCCTGAAAATTTCAAGGAAAAATATTCATAACGTTCCGCAAAAATAAACATTTTATCGAAGGAAACTTGGCAACTCTCGAATGTTCATACGGCGTTCTTCCTTAGCACGGCAGCACTATGGGTCCCTATGATGATAACCGAGGAATATGATCGCATGTCAATTCTTAATTTTAGCACAACTTGGCATCGGGGAAAAGTCTCGGACGTCTCAAATCAACAGTAGCGGTGGCAAGAAGAGATTTGATGTTGGTTTCAGATAACGTGAATTCAACATCCGGTGGGCGGTCTGAGGAAGGGTAAACCACGCCACGCAGCTCCCGCCTTTTTCTACCCGAAAGAAATCGGCACTCGCTTGCTGCGCTTATCTCTTTTCGAGGGAACGCAACCGAACTTGACGCGACGCACGGTGAGTCGAAACCTGCATAATGCCGGACATTTGGATCTCTCACAAGATGTCAAGTCTTTGATGGAGACGGCCACCCAAAGAGTCTTACTTTATGATTTGGGTATTGGTTTTCCTTTTAGTGCACAGAGTGCACACAGCCTCCCAAAGTGGTTCAGGAACAGTGGCGTGGTGTGCTTTGCGATATAGTATCTGTCGCAGGCAAATGGTAAAATCAGGCATTTTGTCAAATGCCTAGGCAAAAAGTCAAACATTCTAACTGAGATTGAAATTCTGATTCTTTTCCTCATTTTAGACAAAATAATTAATTGCTCCCGTAAGAAAAACATTTTAATGAAAATTTGCATCGCACAAATAAAGTATTTGAAACAATTTTCAGCTCCTGAACAGACACTCATCTCGAAATTCTCAGCATGTCATAAAATACAGAATTTTCAGAATTTCAACATCTAAAAATATGAGAAGAAATTTAAGAGAAAGAGACAAAAATAGTTCGTAAGTTTGATGAGTTATTTTTTCAAAAATATTGAAAACTCGTGAGCTCTTCGCTATTAGTTCACAAAATTTTGTAGACCGTCAAAATTTAACTATCTGACCAGGCATTTGAGAAAATTCCTGATTTCACTATTTGCATGCGACATATCGATTGATCTGTCCTTTAAACCTATGAAAAAGGACGGACAAACAGATTGCTTGCAGCGAACACGTTAATGATCGATTCTTTACCATAGCTTTAGATGGATGAATATCGATAATCGATCATTCGCGCCACGCCACTGTTCAGGAATTCTCGAGAAATCGATAGCCAAGGTTCGAAACTAAGCATCTCCATTTGAAACGTTTTAGACTTCCTGCCATACATCATAGTTTCCTTGAAAAACTAATTCATCGAAAACTTTCTTGATTTTTCCTCTCCATTAGCAGAAAATTCTGTCAAAATTACAAGCTATAATGTTGGCTGGCTTGTTGCTCATCGAAAAAATAAAAAAGAAGCAGACATTTTGAAGCACCATAATACTGCCGTGCTAAGGAAAGACGTCCTATGAACATTCGAGAGAAGCCAAATTATCTTTGATAAAACTTGTATTTTTGAAAAAAATGCATGTTTATTGTTCCTTGACATTTTCAGATATTTTAAATTAAAGTACCTAAAAAATTGTTTAATTTTGGAAAATAATATTCACAATTTTCCCAGTAAATTCGGGTTTTATCGGAAGAAACTTGGCAACGTCTAAAGGCTCATACGGTGTTTTTCCTTAGCACGGCAGAATAGAGATACGTGGTTTCGCAAGTTTATATCAGTAAAATGTTTTCTCACTCAGGAAAAATTGTTCGCGAGGTGATATATTCTCTTGATAGATTTATGACGATTTCTGATTAAGGAAGCTTGTTCTCGTCGAGGAGAATATTGAAATACATCAAAACCAAATAAACCTCCATGATTTTTCTTTGCTGTGCGCGAAGTGAATTCTGACAAAAAACCTGAAAGATAGATGTTGATTTGTTTTCATGAATGAAAAAAAAGAGCGGAGATTTTTAACACCGCAGACGAGATATGTGGTTTGGAAGTTTCACGGTCGATATATTTTACTAATAACATGTTGAAATATCTCTGTTTTGATATGTACCTTCCTCCTCAGTACCGAAAAAATAATAACGTAGACAAATTTTTAACGCATATTGACTGGAAACCATAGTAGAACAGTGTACACTGATCCATGAAGATCCAGTATCCAGAAAAATTGGCTACCAAAAAGGCTACTAGAGGAATAACGCACAAATGATATCGTAATGAAATTCATAAAATGGTGGCTAAAGAAAAGAAGAATTTTATTGGTCTGCAATGAGAAAACGCTGGGCATCTTATAGGTGATTGTAATGTCATTTTTATCGATCAGTCCGAAACTGATTTTCGCTTTACTTCTACATCTGTTGTTTTCCTATGAAAAATCGAAATTTTTCATCATATAGAAAAACTTCTCAGAATATAGAATTTTTCGGAGATCTGGTGCGGGGAGGAAAAACCAATGCCATTTTCGAATGGAGAACTTGCACGCAAATGTTTTATTGCTTCGTCCGAAAGTGCCTAAAGAGCTGATTTTGCAGTATTTTTTATAATTTTTTTTCTACTGTGGGAAATTGTATAAACATAAATTTAAAAGTGGGAAAATGCTCCGCCTAGTGACGTCATCTGGCGGCATTTCCCATTTAAACGCATGTATTTTAGCAAATTAGATCATTTTGTGATAACTCCTACAAGGATTGTTCTATTTATGAACCAAGGCTATCCCCGTGTTCAGCTCACTTGGAAGCGTCCAACTAAACACGAAATTCATCATTTCAGACACCTGCAAATTCTCCATTCAGCAGCCAAAAAAAAATGGGAAAACGTGACGTGCATTTTTTACAAAATTTCAGATCACGCGCTTTCCCGGTCGAACGGCGTAATCTACCCATGTAACACCAGAGAATAACACAGATTGCGTCTCAAAGGACGTATCTACCCAATTGTTAAATGGAGTGTTATGGTATTAAAATTTCGAAAATTCTCTGGGAGAAGCCCCCTGATCCTTTTTCGCCCTCCGTTCAAAGTGTCTGGATCCGCCTATGCCCTTGAACTTGAACACTTAAAACCCCGATTCAAATAAGGTAAAAAGCGATAGCCAAAGGGCGAAAAATAGTCAACGCAATTTCTTATAAACTACCTTGAATTTTCTTTTCCGTCGGCAAAATATTCTATATTGATTTCAAGCCATAGAGTTGGCTTGATTCTTCTCAAGAAAATAAAATTGGAGTGCACGGTAAAAAATTGAATGTTGATTAAGCATTTTTACTGTTGAAAACATGTGCAACAAGTATCAAATGCTAATTTTACATTTTAAAAAATGCTGACTCAGCATTGAATTCGTCCATTTAACCGTGGACGTAGTAAATATAGCATTTTGTTGTTTTAATATTAGCATTTATACTTGCCGCGCATTTTTTTAACATTTTAAATGCTAGAGCAACATTCAATTTTTCCCCGTGCGGAAAGTTTGAAACGCCGCAACGGAGGTCGGTGTTTTTGCACTTTGGCTATCGAGACGCAAATTATTCTGCTGATGGCCAGGATCCAGGATGTCCGCTTTTCCGCTGAAACTAAGTTGAAATATGTATCTGAACGCAATAATTAGTCTGATTATCATGAAAAATGAAATCTGCGACTAAAGATGCGTAAGGATCAATAGTTTAAGAGCGGAGACTCAACGTAGGTGACGAAACCAAAATGTGCAAAATTCCATGTCCGGGCGGTTCGTGATTCGACCCACCGTGCGACGCCAAGAAAACATCGTCTCTCCAGTCGGAGCAGACATTCACCACGCGCCAATCAGAGTTGAGACCGTATGCTTTTCTCCTGCCACCCCTCTCTCCGCTTACTCAGTTCTCAGTTCGCCGCCAGCCGCCGCTCAGACTAGTTTCGCGTCCCTTCCGTGCGTGAAGTCGGCATTAGCATCCCTGGCTGAAAGTTTCTTATAGTTTCGGGCCAACCCGCTTTCTATATCGCCGTGTCGTGTTGAGAATCTCGTTTAATGTGTTTCACGATAACTTTTCGGTGTGTGAAAACAATCGTACGTTGTAAGTTGGTTTCTTGAATCGGATATTCAACGCCGCGGTGAGCATTCCCCATTTTGCCAAAATGAACTCTGTTCGCTCGTGGACTTGTGGCCTGCGTTTGAGTGAATCGACATGTGACAACTTCGAAATTTCAATCGGTTTTCGTCGTTTTAGTAGTGCGGTTTGCGGAATCGGATGTTCAACGTCGCGGTGAGCATTCCCCATTTTGCCAAAATGAACTCTGTTCGCCTGTGGACTTGTGGCCTGCGTTTGAGTGAATCGACATGTGACATCTTCGAAATTTCAATCGGTTTTCGTCGTTTTAGTAGCGCGGTTTTCGGGTGTACGTGCGCAATTTTCGATGACTTTCCGCGGAATTCGGTGCTCTCCTCCGAACGCGGGATGGGAATGGCGACCATTACCCCAAGTTTCGTACTTTCTCGCTTCCTTTTGTTTTATACAAGTTCATTGCGTGCGTTATCCGTTTTGTTTGATTGGAAAGGAATCGGCCAATTCTTCATGTTTTCTCGGCTTCGCGTCAATATTTCAATTATCCGATCGCGTGCAACTTACCATACTCGGAAAGAAAATGTTGGACACCTGCTCTTCTGATCACAACCTTTTTAGTGCTGGTATTTGTGACTTCGGTTCCGGATTGTCAGGTTTGATTTTGAAAGTCCTTTCAAGTTGCTAGCCTTCATTTAGATTCTGCCCAAATATGGTGTCATTTATTGTTAATTGTACCTCTATATTTCTCAAATTTTGTCGTCGGTATTGTTCTCCTCTCGGAAATGTGGAGGATAGGCACACACGAATCTTGTCGTTATGTTCTTACCTACCTCCATTCATTGAAATTTTTTACCTACCTAAGGTTCTAGATTTAAGCACACAGGGTATTTTCTTCTGTACTTTAATTGAGCATAGCAAATTTCTGCCAAAAATTTGATCTCTGCACGAAGTTCCAGACAAGTTTTATTTCACCATAATTATCGACATCTCGGCATCGTTAGTGTTTTCTGAGACTGAAGTCTACCAATTTACATCGACCATGAAACTGTTCAAATGCGTATCTCGGTTTGCGACGTTGCAGACTTCCTGTCATATTTTATTTTTTAATTAAGAAATACCTAATTTCATATTAAGTAGAAACCTCCCTGATTTCTCTGCTCTGTGAGTTGAAGGACCCATGAAAATTTTAAGCAATTGTGATGATTTTGTTTTTTCCTGTACTGCGAGTTGGAGGACCCATGAAAATTCGAAGCAATAGTGATGATTTTGTTTTTTTCTGCTCTGTGAGTTGAAGGACCCATGATTTGAAGCAATAGTGATGATTTTGTTTTGTTTTTCGGATTATGTGAATCTGAAGTAGAGGTTTCGAAACACCGCAACGAGATACGCGTTCCTGCAGTTTCACCTAGGAGATGTGCCCAATTCGTAATTTGCAGATTATTTCTCACCCTCCATTTCCACCTCATGCCTTTAAATTGTTCTTTCAATGTCGATGATTTTATCAATACCTATCCTCAGTGCGAAACCACTTTATTTTTGGCATTGGAGACTTCCTGCCATACTTAATTTTTTGGGAAGCTAGATAACGCAAATTTTGAAAAACTTGTATATTTTGCTGCTTCATTAGAGAATAGTTTTCTGTTCCAATTTCAAGCCATGACGTAGGCTTGTTTCTCTCCGGAAAAATGAGAAAGAAAATAGGCCGGGAATTTTGAAACATCTCGATAGAAGCACGTAGTTTAATAGATTTTTCTTAATTTTGGAAAGTTACTAGTAGAACCGTATAATTTTGAAAAGTTTCAAATTGGTGCTATCAGTAGTATCAGATTTCCCAGTGTTGTTCCCTTTAAATCTCCCCTCGCACTGGAGGCCCTAACTCCGCCCTGAAAAAAAAGGGCCAGGCCCCTATGAGAACGTAATGTAGGCTCATTAATGAAACTTAATATTTTTCCCGTAACTTTCCAAATACACTTTTCTCAATATCAAGACGAAAATGTCACGAGTGCCATCTCATCCCAAACCCTGAGGAGGGGGGGGGGAGGGAGGGAGGGAGACGAAAGTTCTTGGGAGGATGTTGCCACAAAAAAATATCTCCGGAAAATCCTTTTTAGTGCTCCATATTGCTCTCTCAGAGGAGAATGTCCATCAGAATTTGTTTCATGCGTGAGGAGAAATCAGCTAAATTTGATATTTAGGAGCTACAATTTCTGCCTCAGTTTTAAAACAACTTATGCACCATTAGTCTTCCCGGAGACATAGGTGTCCTCATGGATGAGGCGAAATTATAATTCCTAAATGCTAAATGTAGTCCAATTCTGCCGTTCTACGTAAAGACGCCGTATGAGACTTCGAAAGTTGCCGAACTTCCTCCAATACCTTAAATGTTTATTTTAAAAAGGAGTTTTTTTTTTCTTTTTCTGTTGTTCAATGACTTTGTGTCAAGCGCCTGCAGCCAAATGGAGAGTGTCAGGTATTTTCTCTCGTACTTGTCAAACACTTCAGATTTAATAGCA